GAGGAAGAGTTAAAAGAAGCACTGTCACGGTTCGGAAATATTCGATTGGCAAAAATTTGTCGTTATGCGGGTAGCGAGCATTCGAAGGGAACCGCTTTTGTGCATTTCGGATCAGCTGAAGAAGCGGACGAATGTCTTTTGGGCATTAGAAAGGTAAAATGAAAATTTTTGAATTAGATGGGATTTTCCTCGTTTTCTATCATTTTTACTTTAACCATTCAAAAAGTCATTTTTTTTACATCTTTTTTTTTCTCGCCATTCGCATCTTCTTTCTCATCTTCACATATTTTGTGCTTAACGGAGTACAGCTTCTGGATACGAAGAAGGTTACCACAATCCCAGGCTAACCCAGACTCGAATCTTGCCCCGTTGTAACGAGGTACGTTGCAATCAAAGGTTGTGAGTAAAAATTTAATTACAGCTTTAGTAAAATATAACAAAAAATTGCAAAGGAAACAGCGGCGTGGGACGGGAATAAAATGGCCGGCAGAGAGCAAGAGCCAACGGTGCGAGCACGGCGCATGGGGTGGCTGAGGACTAATCGATAGGGCGGCAGCGGCTGTGAGCTGTGCACACACTGTGCACTTGAGTAAGCGCACTGGCCGTCCCTCAACCTTGCTCACAGCCCCTTACAAAATACAACGCACACAACAACAGAGCAAATCATAAAGATCACTGTCTTATCTCTGGCCGTTGTGGAGGTCATGTATCACACATATTGTCAAAATTCGGTTTGCCAGTGGCTTTTATTGCTTGATTAGTGATATTACCTCTCTGACCTTTGTTACTGAGTTGGTTAGATAAAATTTGTCATTTTTGGGTACCTCTCGGTATACTTTTGTGATTTTAGTATCCATTTATCACCTTGGATGGTCGACATATTTTTGGTGACCGGGCGCTACCACGATGCGCAATTGCGAAACTCGAAAAGGTAATTGCATTTCTAAAGTTTCCAGAAATTCTTAAAAGTTTAAACTTCAGTGCTGGATGGGATAGTGCTACTCTGTAAGGGTGATAAAATAGATGAAGCTAATGTTATCATTTGAATGATGGCTGTAGAGTTTTTTCTTAAAAAAAAAGAAAAAGTCGATTTTTTTCGTGTTTTATCCCTGAGCTGTAAACATAGCATTAAATAGAGCGATAGAATGGGAATATTTGTCTAACAGTAATATCTGTGATTGCGAATCAGAATTACTAACTTTTTTTGACAAAGATAGATATATAATGAGTTGTCTGTTTACCAAAAATTTTTTCCATATTTCTAGGAAAAACATGAAACGCAGCGGCAAGATAGAAGAAATCTGTTTTTACTCCGTGCTAGCTATGTACGACCAGATGATGGACCAGACAAGATGAGTGTACAGGATGAGCGGAAACGTGAAGGATTCAGAGCTATTGCAATGCAAAAAATGAAAAATCCTCATATGTAAGTCACAGTCAATGACCCCTAGGACTGGCTCTTCCATTGGAAAATGCTTGGATTATTTGGAACAGCTATGGTTCGTAACTGTGCGGCTAGCAAATTTTCGAATTATTTTGGCCAGTGTTCTATTTATTGCTTGTTGGTCAGCCTTCTGGCAATCCTTACTCTGGCCACTCCACATTTTTTTTGCTTTGGACCGTCCACTTGTTTTTTATGCGTTTTTTGCAGCTATGCAATGTGGAAAAC